AGAATTTCGTCAGCATCTGGTACGGGGATACCACTGTATTTAATCTTCTCACTCTCCAAATAGCGTCCAGCAATGATTGGAGTTGAAAGTTATTAGGCTCTGACACGAAGCCTACATAGAAGGATGGATTTATTGTTTTCCGATACCATGGTCCCGGTTTTGACGATGGGCTCGCCCGCTTAGAGAGGCCTAGGCGCAAAAGGTGTAGATAACGGAAATGGCGCAACAAATTTAACGTTGAATAACAAATATTCACAAGCATGGGATATTATTGCTTACATACCTACCTAGGTACCTTCGGTGTGTAGGCGCACTAGATTATGTAACAATTGTACATGAGATGAGTTGGCATAAGCAATTAGGTATCAACGGACCGCTGCCAGCTGGCATAAGCATTGAAACCCAAGCCACGCAACGCGCTTCATTTCCCCAGTATGCCCCGGAACTTGTCTTAGGTTTTGTCATCATCACCTTCACATTCGTGTAAACATGGAGGAAACTTTCTCGTCCTTAAATTTATGATGGTTTTCTCAGATCTAAAAGACCGTCTCACTTCTTTAGTGAGCGGGAAACAATTCAACTATAAGGCTCTCCCTGAAGATGTCGGCCAAGAGGAGAGCCAGAAACGAGCCGCGACGTGGGCTGGCCGGCACAAATCACTCATTCAACTCACCGGAGCTGCACTGATCTTGGCGATTATTGGAATATTTGGTGTGAACTTCACGTGTGTCCAGAGCTATGGTCCCCACCTGCAAATCCACAAAACTAACACCGATAGCAGACACACAAGCAAGAGGCATTCCTGCGACTATGTGAAGTCTGGTTTCCAATGTGAAACAGCTATATCCCACTCTTGGGGCCAGTATTCGCCTTTCTTTTCAGTACCATCTGATATCTCAAATGACATCCCAAAAGGGTGCGAGGTAACGTTTGCGCAAATACTATCGCGTCATGGGGCCCGTGATCCTACCCTAAGTAAGAGCTTATCATACCGAAGTCTCTTCGACCGCATACATAACAACGTGACGGACTATGGGGAACACTATGGCTTTATCAAAGATTACAAGTACACACTCGGCGCCGACCAGCTCACAGTATTTGGCCAGCAACAGCTAGTGAATTCCGGCATCAAGTTTTACAAACGGTATGAGAAACTTGCTAGGAACATCTCACCTTTTGTCAGAACTGCCGGCCAGCAGCGTGTAGTGGACTCGGCAGTGAATTGGACGCAAGGATTCCATCAAGCACGCCTAGCGGACAAGAATGCCGAATTCCCAGATGCGTACCCTTATGAGCCGGTCGTGCTCCCCGAAGTGGAAGGGTTCAATAATACGCTTAGCCCGATGACTTGCACCGCTTTCAAAGAGGGGCCAGATACGGGGAGTGATGCCCAAGCGATCTGGGTTGATACGTTTGTCCCGCCAGTCGCAGAGCGAATCAACCAAAATCTGGTTGGAGCTAACTTGTCAAATTCCGATATCATCCACTTAATGGACATATGTCCCTTTGAAACGGTCGCCAATACCGACGGCCATTTGTCTCCATTTTGTAGTCTATTCAAGGAAGATGAGTGGAGTAGTTTCGACTACTACCAGACACTAGGCAAGTGGTACGGTTATACTAACGGCAGCCCATTGGGGCCGACACAAGGAGTTGGTTTTGTCAATGAGCTGATTGCCAGACTCACGGGCCAACCGGTAGCCGACACAACGAGCACGAATACCACGCTAGATGGCTCACGCAAGAGCTTCCCCCTCGACAGCATACTTTACGCGGACTTTAGTCACGACAACGACATGTCAGGTGTGTTTGGCGCTATGGGTCTTTATAACGCTACCGAACCCCTCTCGAATACGACGAAGGCTAGCCCGAGGCAGAGCGAGGGCTACGGGGCTAGCTGGGCTGTGCCCTTTGCAGCGAGGATGTATGTGGAGAAGATGCAATGCAAAGGGATTGAAGAGGAGTTCGTGCGGGTACTCGTCAACGATAGAGTGATTCCGCTGCAGAACTGTGATGTCGATGCACTGGGCCGCTGCACGCTGAGCAAGTATGTGGACAGCCTGAGCTTTGCCAGACAAGGGGGCCACTGGAATAAGTGCTATGAATAAATGATGTCGACTAGATTACGTTCTAGCGTCCAAGGGATGAGAAAGTACATTAGATTCGCAATTCTAGAGTCCACAACCCAATCAACCCCGATATTTACAAAGTGGGCGGGGAAAGGGGGATAGAGGAAGACGGAGTCAGCAGTTTTAGGAACATATGTCCGTTTAGAGGACAGAAAGACCTAGACAGGGTAGTTATTGATCACCGAGCAACTCGGACATGAGGATTAAAGGGGGGAGGAGGGGAGGAGGGGAGGAGGGGATGAGAGGGGACTAGAATCTACTATAACCATTCTATGAAAGGCTACGGTCCCAACCCGCTTTCAGCTCCGATTCCACACACACGGATCTTCGCCCCCTTTGAGCCTACATACACCACATCATACGTAAGATATCATGATATATTGAAGATAACGGTTGATCTCGCCCTCGTATGACGAAACGGCCTTACACGACTTTTCGGGAGGTACAAAGCACTGACCGGATATGTGGGGAAATATAGTCACGAGGCAGATTTACATCCGATATGGCCTCCGCTGGTGAGACATACAGAGGGCTGATTCAATGCAGAGTGGCTTGGTGGCGCTGATAGGCTGGCGGAGTGAGACAATTGACTCTACATAGATTGTATCGTAGACCAGACATCAACGACCATCCTCTTTAGGCGGCTATCCTCACATCACGCAGGTAACAACATCATATGTATAACAGAATACCGAGTACCTTAGTTAGGTAAGTAGTTAGAGCCATGTACCTAGGTAGGTGTGCCGGATAGAAACTTGCCTACCCGCCTCCTACTTACCTCCTTAGGGAAGTACTTAGTATACCTCGTGTCACGTCACTCGGGCATAAGTGGGGGACTGGTGTTGTGCATTGGTGCCGGGTGCTAGATAGACCGGACTAACAGTGCTAAATTTAGTGGGATTTCCCCTGCTGCTACCTAACCTACGAGGCACCTCGCTAAGGAAGTACCTCAGGTACCTTACCTTCTCACTACCTACCTAGTACCTACCTAAAGTACCTTGTAAACTGTAATCCAATCAGAACGAAGGGAAATCCCAACATAGCAATGCGTACTACTTCTTAGGTAGGGTCTTAGCTACCTACATTAGGTACCTAAGGCAGGTAGGTAGGTAGATAGGTACTTGAATGTATGAATTACTACAGGTAGAGGGACCCTAGGTAGACTAGTACCTACCTGGTAATAACAAGCTACCTAGGTAGGTAGGTAACGTCCTTGATCACCATGCCTCCTCCTCCTCCACCACTACTACCACCACCTCCACCGTCGTTCGTTCCATCGACGACGACACCCCTTCTATCCCCGGTAGTGTGGGTAGCAGTGAGTGGTGAATGATCTCTGTTAGTCTCTCTACTTTCTCCCTCGGAGCTCTCCACCGAAGTCCACACGAATACCGCGCATCCGTTCATCCTCGCCATTCGTCTCACCTGAAGTCTGAAGATGGCTGTCAGCCCTGTTGGAACCTTCTTCATCGTCCTCGTCGTCCTACTAGTTGTCGCTGCTGCCGGCTGGATCGTCTTCACGCAGCTACGCGCAAGACGCTTAGGAGTATGCCCCTCTCTCACCAGTCTGCCTATTTGTTTCCCATCTCGCGAACATCATGCTTGTCTCACATCCCCGAGACATCACAACACACCACATCGGTCATCGCCTTTCCCGATCCCTTTCCCCTTTTCCAATCAGAATCAACAGCGCGCGGGAGTAATAAAATACCAAATACGCTTCCCCTTCATTCTGCCTTGCCTGTCCCTCACAATGGCATTACCCTCTAAGCAAGCCGCCGCTATATCGACCCAGCTAACATACAACCACCTTCTCCACAGCTTCCTTCCCCACCTCTGTCCTCCTATATCCCCTTCGCGCGCTCTTCGCACCAGCCAGCTTATGGAGGCCCACAGCCTAATTCCGGTGGCGTCCGCGGATGGATAAGCGACCGATTCCAATCACTGAAGAACCCACGCTCGGCAGCTGGCGCATACGAACAGCCTAGTGCCCCTTCCGGCCGCCGCGGGTTTGGGCCTCTTGACCCAGACGAGGCCTGGGACGCGCGCGTCGGCGCTTACTATCCGGAGGATCAGGAGCTAGAAGATAGAGGACATCATGGTCGTGCAGAGGGCCCATACTCAGGATCTGGATACCAGATGAATCCCGCTGGCGATGGTGCTGAGGAAAATAGAGGACGCAACCCCAACCCGCGCCCCGGCGACCATGGTATACCCGCCGGTAGGCCACCCGCCGCGGGAGGAAATGCGCGCCATAACCCTTTCGATGATGCCGCCGCTGAGCCAAGCAATTTGAGTGCGAGAGGTATCAGTCCGAGGCCTATTGATACGCGCAGGGCTGCCGCTGCCGGAGGTGCAACGCATGATAGTCCCACGTCAATCTCGGAGCGAAGGTCTGTGTTTAGAGAAGATGTATGACGGCGAGGACCACGGCGTACTGGGTAAAGGGGGCTTTAGGTTTTTTCTTTTTTTTTTGTTGTTTTGAATGCGCAGGCTAATCGAAGGCTTTCTAGAGGCGGTAACAAGCTTTCTACTTGATTTGTCTCTTGTAGTGATACTAGGATGGTTTAGGCAGGGCGTGTTGGTAGGAGTAGGAATGGCGTTTAGGCACGTTAGCACAAACATTGCGTACGGAATAAAAGGCGGGATGGTTTAAGGCAGTCCTTACAATAAAATAAAGCAAGTGCTGTTAAATAGTACTATCAAGTTTAGTTGTCTTTTTACAATTTTTATTAGTTAGTTACTATGTTTTATTAAATATATTTTTATATTATTCCTAAAGAACTCCTTTTTTTAAATAGTTGAGACTTATTTACAAGTTAAAAAAAACTTGGAAGACATATAAACTATTGATGTCTTTATTACTTTAAGCGACCTCGGCCGGACTCGAACCGACAATCTCTAGAGAATCAGAATCAGTAACCGAAATCTAGCGCCCTAGCCATTAGGCCACGAGGCCAGTCAAACCACTGGTGGTAGTGATGGGGAAGGTCGCCCTATTGCGGCTCCAATGATTAGACCCTGAAGAACAGGGAGTAGTTGGTGTGAATCGGCTAGGGGTGAATGGCAACAGATACTCCGGGTGAGTTTTTGGTAGACGATAGGTCATTGGTTCCAAGTATTGTGCGTAGTCTTCGGTGTTATGGCGGCAAGGGGGAGCGGGGTGAAGGCCTCTGGGTTTGCTGTGGGATGCTGTGTTTTGAGACTCCGTTTTACTTCAAAGTGAAAAGTTAGAGCATAGCCTTTTGTCTTTTTAGAAAAAACACGATCATAGGTAAGAGGGAACGTTGCTATGTTGTTAACACTTATCTTCTTTTCTCTTAACTACCTACCTATTGTCATAATCTTAAGTATAGGGGTGTAATGAACAATTATGGTTTCTTGGAGAGCCTATATTATCTATATTGAGTGCATTACTAATATACAGAACAACTCCATGCCTAGAGGTGGGACATCTAAATATAGGCCCCTGACTGTAGAGAAGAAGGGGGGAAAGGGAGAAACGAAATGAAAAAGTAAAGGTTTGGTTGGTCGGTTCTTGTTCAGAAACCTAACTATAGTGTCACGAGAGGAGTCCTTTGGGAAGGCAAGGCTTCCAGTTTGGGTATCCAAGTGTATATATTAATCTAAGGATAGAGAAGAAAAGAGGAAAAGTCTAAAGGTCTACAGAATTATCAGATTAAGTGTGTGTGCAGAGTGGGTCCTGCAGAGGGTCCTATACAGGTGGGTCCTACATGGGTCCCCTAGGGACCCTTGTGGGGGCCAGCCGTGACTTATAGGTTTAAACAGCAACGTGATAACTCTAAAACACAAGCCATAAGCAGAGAGAATGAATTACTTAGATCGACCAGACTCCATTATTATAACATCTTGTATTCGTTACGCTATATGCATTGATAATTCTATATTATTTGTAAAATGTTCCCACACTCTCCCGTCCTTGGTTCCTGGCAATGAATCCGCCGCAATTAAACGCCTTTACATTCCTGTTTTCCTATTTAACTGCTGGCTATATGTTAATAGCACCGAGATCAAGAGTGTATGAATGATCAATATACTTTTCCTGTAGCGAGATTCGGCATATTCGTATCTGGGACTGGCCACTGACCGTGTACTGCTACGTATAAGATTTAAGTAGCTAATCAAAGCACTCCTTCCTAGCTGATTGCTGCGTACTTTAATTATCTTTAGATAACTATTTAAGAGCCTACTGCTGATAAGTACGGTGGTTATATATGGCCATATTATGGGAAGCGTTCATATTCGACCGAGACCTCAGACTTACGTACAGTTTGTATGGTGTGAAGGAGTCTGTGTGTTAAGGGGTTGATAGATGTACTATATCACTCCCGGACCGCATACGATCAGTACCTCAATACCTGTCTCGGAGATCATGGTTTGGCTAGCCCCCTTAGTGCCCATTTTCAACGTAGTATGTGCTATTACCGTTACTCAGCTCATTACTACCATGTCAAGGCCCGGACGGATGAGTCTCTCATTTTCCGTGTATGTAATCTGTCCATCTAGTTAGAGAAGAACGAAAAGGGGGGAATTTTCAAAACACTGGCTTGCTAACAGCCGTTTACTCCGAAGCCAGGCGCGACTGGTGAGACGACATTTCTAAAGACGGGTACTAAATCCGGGGTACTGCTTAACAGTCAACAAAAGAGAGTCTCCGACGCAATAATTCCCGGGAGGGGGGGGCGGGGGTACTTCCCACGAGAGGCCGTGCCTTTCGACTGCGGGATGGCTACTCAACGAAGGCCAAAGGCTCTTTTTGCGGAAATAAAGATGAGCGGTAGGGGTCGGCAACTACTACCCCGACTCATATAGAGGGTTTGCCGCGTACATATCACTAGGGGAAAATGCCAAGTAGCTACCGACGCAATATTACTAGAAGAATTAGCCTCGAGGTGAGCGGAAAGACTTATAAAGAGCGATATCAACCCTTATTGACATCCATTAATAGCAGTCTTATGGACTTCTCAGATGAGTCAGCTACTCAACCCATAATCTTCCAAGGTGTCAATAGGCTCTCAGCTAGCTATTCTGGAGGCTTCTGAGATGGCAGAAACATCAAGGCTATATACACTAGCCGTCGGCGATTCTAACTCGCCTAATATTGCCTCGAACTTCAAGTAAGGCGCTGAATTAACTGAACGGGGTCTGGGCCTCCCTTTGCAACACACCGAAGACTAGCAAATCTTGCCTTCCAGAACGTATGACGTGCGAGGCCTTTCATTATCGTATCTTCAAGTACTAAACGCACATACCCGAATCTTTATTGGACGAAAAGACGATGTTGGGTGAGTCTATGGGATCTGAGGATCAGGTCGTATATATCACGCCATTTATTATCCCTTCTGGCTCTGGACATCCTTATATCACAATGACCGCGTACCTAATGGCGTACGTTGCATAGCGGTGGTTATTTGGACGTATACAACTCCAATTGGACAGCATATTTGGGTCAGGTGCTCATCGGTTGCCTGATGTTAATCCGGTTGCAGACGCACCGTATAGCCCAGCTATTGTCCTTTATGGCAACCTATACGTGCCCCTTGTTCCCTAACATGCGTTAGTTAGAGATCTTAATTTCGACGAGTCTAGATTTCCCTCCGGCGCCGAGTTGCTCGTCAACACAATTTCAATCTATAATTATGGTTTTAGCGAAGCTCACTATCTAAAGCCTTAACGATGTCTCAATGATAAGGACGGGAAATACGGCGATGTTAAATTTACCAGAGGGATCTAGCAGAACGTCTAGTAGTTTGCTTTCAGTGCCGGCAGATGACCCTGCGTAGTAGGTATACAAATCGGCGCAGTGAGAGATTTTCATCGCGTTTTCTCGGCTAGCGTACCGTTATGGCACTCCTCCCGCCGGCGAATACGATGACTCGGAGCTCAACGCTTTTCCCCTAGGGCAGCCATTCCTCGTTGTGGTTATAGTGAGGGTCCGGCATAAGGGCGCTTCATCCGCAATGAAGCAGCGAAATGTGGTACTGTGGGGTTATGTGAGCTATCATAAGTCAGTGAGGCACCCATAGACCGTTACTTGTTAAATTAAATCACTACACTCTTGTGAGCTATCTCCACTGGGACGCCTACCCCTCTGCATGAAGTAATTATTTGTACAGCAGAGGGATAAGGTTCAATTCGTCGCGGCACAGAATAGAAGACAGACGACCGTATAGTCTCGTCTTGGTGTTCCTCCCTATATTGCCATCAGCCTCCATGCAATAAGGTGAGATATGGCGAGTCCAACCGTGCCATGAATCAAATTAGGGTCGAAAGCCGAGCCGACGAGAGCTGATGAATGTAATAATCATCGAGCATGTTACACCATTGGCGCACAATAGGGCCACAAGGCGGGCACCACGAGACAACCAACCAATCGTAGCAAGCATCTCGGAGCACGCTTTGCCTTTCCTAAAGGTATCCATTGCATTATCGACTCCGGGGACTATTCGGGCTCCAACGACAACACCAAGAGATGCCCAGAGTCAAAAGTGAATACCCCTCTACCCTTCAACAATGTTATCTCTGCTTCTTTCGGGTTCACATATGCCTTGTTATATGGGGTAAGAGTTTGCGGCTTGGAAGCCGACGCCGAGATGGCTACTCGGCGGGCGTTCATATGAGACATCCTGCTGTGTGACTGAGGGGCGACATCCCGCATAAAGCAGATAACTATCGTACTATGGGTCTTTAGTTAGCCGACAACCGGACCATACTTGCGCCCCCTACGACGACTACTTAAGACTCCGGGCCCCCTCTTGATCAGGGCAATAGCAACTATGCCCTTGTAGTTCGCTGTTCTGAGGACAATATTGAGAGATTCTTCTGCCTGAATCCGTCTCCGACACTACCGCCATCAGGAATGTCCAGCACCATGCCTTCGGAAACTGGTACTCGGCTGCTACCGTCCCTTGTTGACGATCTAGCGCAGTCGAACCCATCTCATATCGTATACTCAGTTGCCAAGACGAAAAATCCTGCTGACGGATTTGATGATATCTGCGCTGCGGATTTCGCGCGGGCCGTTGATCGATGCTCTTGGTTCATCGACGGGACTCTCGGCGTGGGGAAAGACTTTCCAACTATCGCCTATCTAGGCCCTCAAGATCTGAACTATGCCATCTTAGTACTCGCTTCCATCAAGGCTGGCTACAAGCTCCTGTTGGTCTCGCCACGCAACACCGTTGAAGCGCATTTGTCTCTCCTAGACAGCATGGAGTGCAATGCATTTCTTACTCCGCCCAATTTCCACTTGCCAACCATCAAACAGGTATTAACCTTGAGACCGATTCGCCACGTTGAAGTGGCCGAATATCGTCATTGGCTAGAAGGGGAGGGCGAGGCGGACAAGCCCTATCCCTACACGAAGAAGTTTTCGGAAGCTAAGGCAGAGCCTTTCGTCGTTCTACACACATCGGGTTCAACTGGACTGCCGAAGCCTATTGTGCAGACTCATAGAACAATATCGGCGGTCTCCGCACTTTCAAGCAAGGTGGATAACCGTACTACCTTTCCAGGCTTCTTGAGCGGCAAGCGAATGTACCTGTCATTCCCCTTATTCCATCTTGCTGGGCTACACTTACTTCTGCCCACTTGCCTTTATGCCAGTGTCACCGGCGTCCTGGCGGCTTCCCCACCGACTGGAGAGGTTGTTGACGGTGTTCATCGTCATGGAAACGTACAGCACTCCTTTTCCGCCCCAGCGACACTACAAGAACTAGTTAGAGAGCCTAAACATGTAGAGAATCTCAGTCGGATTGAACAGGTAACGTACGGCGGAGGCCCGCTCCCGAAGGCAGTCGGTGATCTCGTCGCTACAAAGACAAGAGTCCTTAACTGCCTCGGTTCTACCGAATGTGGAATTCTTCCGGCGCAGCTTTGCGACGACCCGCAAGATTGGCGATATCTACGCCTAGATCCGGTCCTGGGATATGAGCACCG